GCCGAGCAGGGAGCCCGATGCGGGACTCGATCCCGGGACTCCAGGATCATGACCTGAGCCGAAGGCAGTCGCTTAACCAACTGAGCCACCCAGGTGCCCTCGATTAAACTTTACATTTAATTTCCAAAGATGTCACAGGCATTAAAATCTCAAACCAAGTTTCCCCTGAATAAAAATGGACAGAAATTTCTCTGATGCAGAATCCTCTTGCTCAGAAAGCTGAAGTCCAGGGTGAATTCAGTTCGCAGATACTGTACACTCATTGTACAATACTTCGGAGGCATCTGTAGTTGTAAAATAGAATATACAAGTCTGTTTCACAAAATTCTAAAAATAAAATATATCCTGGGCTATTGATAAAGCATGAAAAAAACTTCCATATTAAAGGAAAATTATCAAGAAACCCCCTTTGGGTAAATTATGAAACCTACGAATCAAGAAAGGAAGCAGTTTCTGAAAGCGCAGGGCAGGGAGGGCCCGCTAACAAGCGTGCTCGGCTTCTTCCATGCTCATGCTGCTCCTTCGGCTGCTCGTTTTGGAAGCTCCGGGGGACACTGACGAAAGCAGTGGGTCAGTTACGCCCACGGGAGAAAGCGTGTCATCCATCAGGATGTCTTCCAGTTTGGATCCCATTTTCGTGGGGACGCCGTAGGCTTGGTTACTCTCGGTCCCGGCTCCAAGGTTGTTGTTGAAGGTGATGGTGCCGTCTGTGAGGTCGAGTGTCGTCGTACAAGGTAGGTCTGCATGATGCTGAAGGAGGTCTTGGTTGCAGTTCTCGAGAGTGGGTTCTTGCTTGATGATCCGATTCACCAAATCGGGGGAGCAGAGGCCCGTGGATGGAATGAGTGAAAGTCCGTGAGCTCGAGCCTGCATTTCAAGTTCCTAAAATGAAAGTAAAAAAAAATCAGATGTTTCAAGAGGCGGAGTACAGAGGACTTTAGGGCAGTCCAAGTACTGTATGTGATACTATAATGGGGCATACGTGTCATTATGTATTTGTTCAAACTCATCGGATGTACAACACCAACAGTGAACTCTAAGGTCAAGTAGGGACTTTGGGTGACGATGTTGTACGGTGTAGGTACATCAGCTGTAGCAAATGTACCACTGTGGTGGGGGATGTGGCTGGCAGTGGACCTGTGGGAGAGCCAGGAGCATATGGGGAGTCTCTCTATACCTTCTTCTCAATTTTGCTGTGACCCTAAAATTTCTCTAAAAAGTAAAGTATTAGGGGCGCCTGCGTGGCTCAGCCAGTTAAGCATCTGCCTTCGGCTCAGGTCATGATCTCAGCGTCCTGGGATCCAGCCCCATGTGGGGCTCTCTGCTCAGGGGGGAGTCTGTTTCTCCCTCTCCCTCTGTGCTCACTCTCTCTCTCAAATAAAGAAATAAAATCTTTTTTAAAAAAGTAAAGTATTAAAAATCAGACACTTGGAGGAAAAAACAATAAATTATGAAAATAATCTTTTTTTTGCTCTTTTCAATTAATAAATGCTATTTCTTAAAATAGAGTATAGGAACCACCAGTAGTATATGATGTGAGTTTTAGGTGCTACACTGATTTCATTAGGTATTAAATACAGAGACAGTCTCTCCCAGATGTTCATATTTCTGAAGATAAATTTTAAAAACACAGAAATAAAGACAAATATGAATATAAAATTTCAAAATGTGAGCTGATTAAAGGAAAGTGTTCAGTAAATAATGCAGTTCTGGGGTCCCTAAACTGTGTGCACATATCCAGGGGTGTGCTGCAGGGAACTCTCAGGGTACTGTGACATTTTCAGATATCTGGGGAAATAGCACACTACTCTGAGAACTATCAAATTCAAGATGGTCCACAGTCTCAGCGTTAAACTGTGCGACATGCTTCTCCATCATGTATCATTGCGAAGGCGGGTCTTTGGTGTTGCTGTGATAAAAAGTAAGAATTCCATGAAAACCAACACGGGATGAGAAATGAGGGTGGCACTGTCCAACCAGATTCCGTGGCTGCAGAAGCTGTGCAGTGTGCAACAGACACACACATCCCATTAGTAGGTAATGCAGTTATTAAAAAATAAAATAAAAATGCTTTTTTTCTTTCGGCTTATATGTTTTGTATTTTCAAGTGGCGACTAAGTTGTTAGGACCTAAATATTCAGTAAGTTGCTTGGACCTAACAAAGAAATGGTAGGTATTGCTTTGGCCGAGGGCAAAGTGAAACAGTTACTAAGATACGAAGGGTATCATGACCTAATAAAGTCTGGGTGGGAATGGCGAAACTTGTAGAAGTTGTACATAAGGAACTTAAGTTTGAGAAGTGTCACTTAACTCATCTTACCAGGGCCAAGGGAAGTATGGCCTTTGGTTGGTTTCTGTTTTTTTTTATTTCCAAAAGAAAGTTCTTACAGGGAGGATGAATAATTCCTTTCTACGCTTCTTCACATCCCTTATATGATGGGCTGAATTGAAAAATTTATTATGTTCCAGGGTCATGAGATCAAGCCCCACGTCAGGCTCCCCGCTCAGTGCCCTGCTTGAGAGCCTCTCTCTGCCCCTCTCCCCACTTGTGCTCACTCTCTCTCTCTCCCCCTCTCTTCTTTCTCAAATAAATAAAGTAAATCTTAAAAAAAAAAATTCGTATGTTCAAGTCGTAACTCCCAGCACCTCAGAATGTGACTCTGTTTAGAGATGCTGTTTTTTAAAGAAGTAATTAAGTTCAATGAGGTCATTTGGGTGGGCCCTAATCCAACCTCCAATAGGATAGATGTCCTTAGAAGAAGAGGAGATTAGCATATGATCTCACTGATATGTGGACTTTAAGAAACAAGGCAGAGGATCATAGGGGACGAGAGGAAAAAATGAAACAAGATGAAACCAGAGAGGGAGACAAACCATAAGAGACTCTTAATCTCAGGAGACAAACTGAGGGTTGCTAGAGGGGAGTGGGGGTGCCGGGATGGGGTAACTGGGTGATGGACATTGGGGATGGCACATGATGTAATGAGCACTGAGTATTATATAAGACTGCTGAATCACTGACCTGTACCCCTGAAACAAACAGTACATCATGTTAATTAATTGAATTTAAATTAAAAAAAAAAGAAGAGATTAGGACACAGGGACACACCTAGGTAAGACCACGGGAAAACACAAAGAAGAGGCAGCCTTCGAGGGAAGTAAAGAAAAACCAATCCTGCCCACACCCTGACCTTGGATTTCCAGCCTTCAGAACTGCGAGAAGAGGCCACTCTGGTGTTTCAGCCTCCAGACCAGTGGTATTTATTAGAGCAGCCTGAGAAGACTAATGCACTTCCCAAGTGTCACAGCCTCCCTGGGTTCCTCGTTTCAAAATGCCATGCAAGTGTGCTCTTTCCACTCTCCCTGAGTATCCCTGGATCCCTCCTAAATTGAACCCAAATGACTCTCGATGAGCATTCTGCTTCTATGTGCCAAGACGATCCTTTCTATGCTTGTCATACACTAATATAGTAAGGACAGAATATAAATTTGAAGCAAGTCACAGTGCCTCACGAAGGAGGGAAAAGTAGCCTCCCACGTGATCCAGCCACTCAACCTTTGCCCACAAGCCTAGAAATGCATGTTCCTGAAAAGTCATGTTCAGTGTGCAGTAGAGATTGTTCTCTGGACGCATGACACGTCAGAGACGGGAGCCTGAGATGTCACACAAGTATGTACATGTTCCTTTGCTCGATCTCCAGAAACACAAGTCTCTTCAGGCATCGTTTTAAAGCCTTGGGCTGTTTAATAAAATTATGGTTCCAATGATATTAAGGCTTCATGCTCTTTCTTCTGTGAAAATTTCTGCATGCATCACTTGGAGCGAAAATGAAAGGAAGCCCTTAGGCCCAAGCTTAAAACATGCACTATTGTAAATCTACACCAACATGCTAATAAGAACAGCTCCTCCATACATGTAGTTTGTCTTAAAAAGAAAGTTGGATGAAAAGAGGCAAACATTTTACTCTGATCTCCTGTTGTTTAATTAAAAATGTTTATCAGCTGATTAAAGCATTACTTAGATTTCTAAACAATGTGCTAAGTCTCATCTGGAGAACTCAGGCTCACCGTATGGCAGAGCCTCCCTAATTACCAATGTGTTCCGTGATATGCAAAAGTTCTACGGGCTGCCCCCCACTGTCACTGGAAGAAACCCACGACATCCTCACCGTGGCACTTCTAATCCACGTTTTTCACAATACTCATATTCCACACGAAGAGACGTGTTTGGATGCTGAAAACAAAACTTAGCTTCTCTTTCAAAAGAGTTCCTATGTTTTAACATTTGTATAAGAAAATAACATATTAGTATAAGCTGCTTTTATAAATGGGTATGTCACGTTCAAGAGAAAAGGACCTATAGCTACTTACTGAAGAGATCATATGAACATGAAACAAACAAAAAACAAAAAAAGATTAAAAAAAAAAAGGGATTTCCAAATGACATGCAACCTCTGCTTCACTATGGACATTCGACAATGCACCCCCTAGGGGAGAATCGTCATCTGACACCCTGCTGAAGATCACTGCCTGCAATGGGAGAAGTGATACTGAGAGATGTCCACAGTGTTCTGGGGCGCTCAAAAGATCGGAGATCATTATTATAAATGAATGACTCTGTTAAAGAGGTTCGGTGTCCGGGACACACACCACCAGATCAAACACACTGCTGTCTGAAGGGTCAGGCTTTGCTTGCCACCAGAGTTGCACTGGAAACCTGAAAAAATGGTAAAAGGGGGGTCCATCTACTCAAGAAGAAGGTACTCTGTTGGCTCTTACTGGTGGACTGTGTTCAAGGTCAGCAAGTAAATGAAAATTACTCTTGCCAATTCCTTTGGTCAGCAGCAGAGAGTCCATTTTTCTTTGTCTTCTTCAAGACAGTTTCAGAGGAAGTTATGTGTTTACTCTCAGCCGGAGAGCCTGAGCACCTACGAGGAGTACCAGGAGCTGATAGTACAGAAGGACTGCCCCATCTCACACTTCACACTGGTATGTACACTCGATACATAGAACAACAGATGAATTCCACATATCAGAGTTAGTATCTCTACCTCTAAGAATAAATAGTGTGAGTTAAAGATACATACATACATACATACATACAGTATAATTTCACTATCTGTAACTATTTCTACAATTTTTATCTTGAGGATAAGATCGTCTGGACGTCTCCAAGTTCCCTATAAACATGGGCTTTGACCATGGGCTACATGCCCCCACCAAATACGAAGGCATCTTGGTATTTAACAACTTCAATCAATTCTCACTACTGGAGGTAATTATTGCTACTGATTGAATGCTTGCGTCCCCATCCCACCCCTGCCAAAATTCATATGTTGAAATCTAATCACCAGTATGATGTATTTGGAGGTAGGGCTTTGGATGGTGATGAGGTCATGAGGGTGGAATCCTCATGAATGGGATTCATGCCCTTATAAAAGAAACACCACAAACCCCCCTCCCCTACTGCCATGGTGAAGACCCAGAGACACTACCCCTGTCTATGAAACAGGAAGCAGACTCTTACCAGACACTGAATCTACCTGCACCTTGATCTTGGACTTCCTAGTCTCCAGAGCTCTGAGAAATAATGTTTGTTGTGTAAGCCACCCAGTCTGTGGTATTTCGTTACAGTCGTCCAAATGCACTAAGACAGTTATGTTCTATAAAGTTGCTCTGAACTCCGAATTAGTAAATACCAAACGATTGCTTCTAGAGGAAATACAGAGTTAGGTTTCTATGAGTGTCTTAGTCACATTTTCATTAACTGATTGACATATAACCTTGTTTTATGTTCAAAGGCACCTTAATACATAACGTTGATTCATTAACGTTGAACTCAAAGCCAACAGCACTGCAACTCACCTACGAAGGAAACTTATCTCCGTAAGACACCTCACAGCTTTTTCATGCTTAGGAACACCAGACAACTTCAGTAATACTCTTAGGGGCCATTTTAAACAGCAAAATTCACCCATATAACCCAGAGAAATGTGAAAAGCCTGGGACTAAGGACCATGAAAAGGATGCTTATTTATAGCGTGAGCTGAAATAAGACAACAGGTCATTGCCTTGTTCAATTTTAACTCAGATTAGCCACTCTGCACATGTCCACGAAGGACCACGAGAGTGCCAAGAATGTTGATCTTGGGGTTACGGTGAATTTTTATGAGTAGCAAATTCACAAACAGGGAATCCATAAATAACGAGTAGCTACTGTATTAGGATCGTGTAAAAATCAAGTCCCCCATGGCTCATTATATCCCCTTTTCCTTCCACCTCCAAGTCAGGGACATATTGCAAACCGCTCACAACACATGCCCCGTACCTGTATTCTGAGCAGCAAATGCCGGTTGGCGTGCTCCAGTTTCTTCTGTCGGTTTTCAAGTTCTTTTGCACGTTGCTGTTCTCGTTGCAACTTTCGGATATAGTCCACAGATGCTTTTAAGATGGTTCCCTTGTTCCAGCGCATGTCTCTGTAACAAAGAGGAAGAAAACAACCTTTTTCGGGATTTGAGGCACAATGAAAATTCATTATTCAGGGCATGAATAATGCAATAATAATGCAATGATTTCTAAAGACACCGTAATCAATGACACGTTGATGATAGCTACCATTCACTGAGTGCTTCCATGTGCCAGACACTATCCACCCCCTTCTTAGACCTTATCCTACCTGTCCCAGACAAGCACCTTGGAAAGGAGGGGTGTGGTGCACGTGCTGAAACAGATACTATTCAAGATGCCCTTGGTTACAGAGCTACTCTAAGGTGGAGTCAGGACTTAAATTTAGTTCTGTTGATTACAAAAATCAATATTCTTAAAAACTATATTAAAGAGCTATAGGTTTCTAGGACTATCAAAGTTAACTCATTCAGACAGGCAGAATAAGCTACAGTTAAAAAAAAATTCCGTGAGATCCTACTACTTGACCATGTGAAGCATAAAAGTGGTATCCTTGGATTTTCTCATGAATATTCCTGGCCAAGTTCCCTAACCTCTCTCTGTGTCCCTGTTTCTTCATCTATAAAATGGTGATACTACACATGTATGAACAGCCTCGCAGGTACGTTACTGAACTCTAAGGAGGCCTCTTAGAGGAATGTGCTAGGAAAAGTCTAGAATGCAATTCAAGTAACAAAGCAGGCACTGTGTTAAAGGCTCAACAGAATAATTATAATGGTTATCTTTAAATAGCATTTACTATGTGCTAGGTATGTTTTAAGGTGTTTTACAGATCATTTAATCACAACAACCTCAGTGGCTAGGCACTAATATTGTCCCCATTTTGTAGAGTGGGAAACAAAGGCACAGAGAGGTGAAGTAATTTGCCCAAGGTCACACAGCTAGGAACTGGCAGAGGCAGGAAGCCTAGAGGATATGGCTCCAGACTCCATGCACTGAATCATTATATCATTCTTCTCATGTGACAGAGTCCTCAAAACAACCAGACTAGGAAGGAATATTCTGAACACCCCTGCCTTTTTTAACAGATGAGGAAAATCAAGTGTCTTTCCCAAGATCACACATCTAGTAAGGGACTGTTTTGGAATTCGAACCCAGGCAGCCTGAGCTTGGTGCCTTTGAGTTTTTAAATCACTGTAGCTGTAATGTCCTCATGTATATGAGGAAATTAAGAACACCATTAAAATGTAGGTAAAAGTGAGCTGAAAAATTTAGAGCACTCCAGAAAAATAATTAAGAATGAAATTATAGGGGCGCCTGGGTGGCTCAGTTGGTTAAGCGACTGCCTTCAGCTCAGGGCATGATCCTGGAGTCCCGGGATCGAGTCCCACATCGGGCTCC